GCTCTTCTGGTTGCCGAGTTAGTAATTTTCCTGCAGAAACTTTCATATGCCCTTACGTGGGTACCACGCATAGCTTGGGGTTGAATTTGAAATATTTGAGTTGTACTTCGACAGGGAATATTACCCCAAAATTTCAGCTTTCTAGCTTTCCTGGTATCCGAGTTAGCAACTTCCCCCCTAAAACTTTCATACGCCCTTACGTGAATACCACGCATACCTGGAGGCTGAATTTGAAATCTTTAGCTAGTACGTGCACAAGGAATATCTACAAAATTTTAGCCCCTTAGCTCATGTGGTTCCCGAGATCGCTTTCCTGCCAAAAAATTTGCACATTTTTTTAAAGCGTCCGTACGCGGCACCCAGGCGTCCGAAGGGGATGAAATTAAAAAAAGAGGGTCTCGCATGGTACGGACACATACTCCCAAAGTTTCAGCCTTCTAGCTTTTCTGGTTCTGGAGTTGAAAGCGGGTGACAAAAAGTGCGAACACACACACACACATACACACACAGCCTCTTCCCAACATGCGTTTTTGCAACTTACGTATATGCAAAAACGCATAAAAACCGGTCGAAGGCAAAAGATTTAGCCAGAAAACGCGAAAATTAGCAAAGAGGAACTGAGGCGCTGAAGGAGCGACCGTTCACTTTAATGCAGCCCGTTAAAGAATGTCGTAAAAGAGATGCCACCATAGGAAAATACAAATTTGATCATTCTAAAAAACCTAGGTAAGCAAAAGGGATGCAGAACTGAAATTTGCATGCCCGCTTTGTTAAAAGTTGGCTGCGACACTACCGATTTCAGTATGAGGAAGGGATGACTTGTTACCTTAATATTCGCCAGTTTTTCGATGAGCTTTTGTATAATTTGACCATCATACAAATCCTCCTGAATGTGTTTGACAACAATTCGCTGCGCTGCTAATTCATCGTTCAGCCAATGAATTAAAAGCTGTATTATTTCCCGCACATGTGGATCGTCACGCGACTCTGCTGTCAGCAATCTCTTCTCTTCACCTACAAAGATTCCGCTGAATTTTTTCTCCACAGAACTCGGCGAAAATAAATGAGATCCAGAGAGATGTTCCCAACCCGCAAGCACTGACTTTTTGTGTACCCTCTGTAGAAGCATGAACAGTTGAGCAGGCTTTGTATCACTTTGGCAATGGGGAGAGCAACACAACGAATGAATTTCGAAAGCCTGTCTGTTTAAGCAATTTTGTGCAGTATTATTAACAATCTAAAACAATCCAGGAATTGAAAGATGTCGAAATCAGCTGGAGCTGTAGTACACTTGTGACTCGACAGGGGTTGGTTTGTTAGCAACCCGGAAATTCCTCTACAGGTTTTGGTTCAGACCGTAACAATGACTCCGGAAGTAGTGGGGCTTTGCTTGTTCTGGTGGCAGTTAGCGCCCAAAAACGCACAGCTAATATGTGTTGTCTCGCCACCAATCAGGTGCAGTTTCGTTGACGAAGGAATGAGAGGAGCCGCGAGCAAGGAACAAACTATGGCGTCGAAGGAGAAGAGTCCAAAGCAGTACTGTAAGGCATCGGTTCCCCAGTTTCTTTTTGAGGCTCTGCGACAAAACTCTGGGACCACCGGAATCTCAGCAGCAGATTTGTCCAATCTTGGCCACTGGTCGCATGCAGTAAGCATGTGGACGTTTTCCTGCACAAACACAAAGAAGATGATGCACACCTGACTATCCGAAAACTGAGAGAGAACCAGTTCGTGACCCTTCCTCACCTCACTACATTCGCGATGAATGACTTGAAAAGATAGAATTACAATGCTGTTCGCTCAGTTTTACCTTCTTCGAGCAAAATGTTTTGTAGAGTGGCCGAAACTGGAATCACTGCCGAGTCGATCGCTTCGGCTCCTTCGATTTCAACCTAAAACAAACACGAACCCTTAGAAAACTGAGGCGGAATAAGAAGCGAAGCAGAATAAACCTGTGGAAATATTCTGACAGTTCAACCAAAATTTTAAATACAAATGATTCCAGTCTGTGGAAAAACCTGACTTGTGGCATCCACGCAAACATTCAGTTGCACGTTCTGTCAAGCAGAATAAGCTGCGATAACGACTGAGCACAAATTCCCATGGGTCAGAATTGTCGCTCGTTTTGCCAGACATTACGTGCCAATGTGTGGCACCCGCGACCACTCGGAGGCCCGATCCCTTGTGAAGGCGGCATACAGAGCAAAGACAAGCTTAGCAAAGTTGTGTCAGGCCTGTCACTGACAGCGTCATCCCGAACGACCATAATAAAATAAAATGAGTGGAGGTGCACAACGCACGAAAAATGTGTCCGACTATTTCATGGAAGAGGGCGAGGGCTGCTACTCCAAAAAGGGAAGACAACAACAATGCGATGATACCTAGGATGGTGAACAGTACAGCAAGAAATCCCAAGCACGAAATAATTAGCTTCGGAAAAAGCTGGAGCGAAGCGAGAGAACGCTTACTTCAATAGCTTCATTTTCAGCTTCTTGTTCGAGCTGCTGCGTCTTCTTTTTCCTCCCAAGGGTTCCTAATTTTTCGAAAAATGATTCGTCCTTAAAAGAGCACAAATCTTTTAGTTTAGAAATGCTCCGAAAAACCATGAGAAAAGTGACCAG